AGCTATCATCTGTGGGCCAAATCCAGCCCGCCACCTGTTTTTGTAGATAAAGTTTTATTGGAACCCAGCGAATTCCATTTGTTTCCATATTGTCTATGGCTGCTTTTGTGCAACAATGGCAATGCTGAGTAATTGTGACAGAGATCATTTGGCCCACAAAGTAGAACATATTTACTATCTGGCCCTTCACAGAAAAAGTTTTCCAATCTCTGGTCCAGGATGAAGTGTTGTTGTCGTAGCTAGATTAATCCACATTAGCCGGTGAATGAGTGGGGCAGACTGAGTAAAATTAAGCCAAGAGCTAAATTTGACTCTTGAAGTGCTTTACAATCCTTTGTAGTAACTGAAAACTATGAATCGCTCACAACTGTCATGTTGTTGGTTTCGTGTGCATAAAATCTTTCAGTCATTCAATCATTCATGGTGGTTTAAGCAATTTGCATTCACATCACCCTATATTGGTTTGATGAAGAGTGGGCTTCCAGTATTTGCTGAATTGAACAGATTGCCTTTGCTGTCACCTAAATGCCATGCAAATGAATCTGAAAATTGAACTCCTTTTTCCTTCCAGGATGAGATGGAATTATTTTAAGAAGTCTTGTTGGATAAAGAACTTTAAAGATTTGTGAGAAAGATAGATACTAGGATATAAGATTATTTATAATTATGCAAATTTACATTATAAACTAAAAATATTAGTTTAAAAAAGCATCTTGATGCCCATGCCTCTCCAGTTCTTCCTTTAAGGACAGGCCTTATAGAGTAGTGAAGAAGATAAAAGTTCTCATGCCAGACACACCTGAGTTTGAATTCTGGCTCTACCATTCCTAGCTGTGTGGTCTTGGGCAAGTTACTTAACACCTCTGTGTCTCAGTGTCATAACTTTTAAGATGAGAATGATAATAGCACCTACCTTGTGGGGTCGTTATGAGGATTAATTGATACACAGCAGACAAAGACTTAGTACTGTGATGGTGGCTAGTAAGCTGTTATGTATTTCTATTCCCCTCTCAGGAAATCCAACCAGCTCTACCAGACTTTTCATTTCCTGTACTTGTTTCTCCAAATCCCCTCTTAACTTGTCTGAGATGTCAAAGACATGGGCTAGTTGGCTGCCATATGAAAACCCTTCTCTGATGAGGGGAAGATGTGATCGCTACGGAAACGAGTGCCTGGGTGGCAGAGAGCACCCTGCAATTATTTGAGCTAGCTGCTCATATCCTGGCAGCACCATCTTTTCTGGGAGAGAATTATGTGAGTCAGAGAGGGCATGGGACCATCTCCATGTTACAGAGCCATGACCAATCACAAGAATGGGTCTCTGTCTTTGTTCAGTACAAGTTTTTACCTGCTTTAGTGTTCTGACTCGGGTCTGTCTTTAGTTCTTTTGTTTGGAAAAACCTCTGATGAGAGGAGTTATTAAGCCGCTCTCTTCATCGGCAAGAGGTTTATTCCATGAGATTTGGGATATTTGGCTGTAATTGTCCGTGTGTGAGGCAGTGCCCACTTGTACTTTTGCATCCGTGCTGCAGTCATTTTCAGTTCTTCCTTGGGTTACCTTTCATCACCTCCTTTCACTAAAAGACGGATATTACCATTCAAAAGAGCTCAGCCAGGTGCTGGTGAATCTGAATCATTGCTTTTGAAGGAGAAAGCTCCCCTGACCCACTTGTGGTTGATAGTGAATTCACCATCCGTCCATCCTCCAATCCATCTGTTTGCTGTGATCTGGTGAAATATTGGATTTCACTACTGGTTCGACCTAAAATTCCTGTTAGCTGTCCTCATCTCCTCTTTCAAACTCTTTTTTTTTCCCTTTTATGTTAAAGGGGAATAATAACATTCATCTAATTATCTTTGTCTCTCTGGTCTCATTTCTCACCATCACCTGCCCTCCCCCAGTTGCCTTCATAGCGTATATGCATATTTGGATAAATGGAAGTACTTGGCAGTCCTGTGATCATTGCAGGGTTGCTGTGATGTTTCTATCAGGTTCCATATGCAAAAACACTTATTACCATGTCTGGCATAAGTGTTTCTTGGATCTCTATATCTGAATTCCAAGCTATGTGTCACGAACACAGAGTTGTGTTTTCGACTTGTGATAGAGTCCCAGCTCTGTCATTTAATAGCTGTGACACTTTGAGCACAGTAACATGATGAAAAACTGCCCTACATTGTTAGAGAGATAAAATAGAATGTATGAAAAGTGCTTTCTAAACTGTAAAGGATGATACAAATATATAACGCTTGGTAGACAGTTGCAGCAATTGTAGCAGCTTTCAGTTGGAACTGATAATAAAAAGTTAGGTTTAATGATATTTTTTCCTTTAGTTCAGTTTGGCTCAATGGCCCCAGGACATTCATCTAAATATTAATGAAATAGAAGAGACAAGGACTGGCCCAGTGGCTCAATTGGTTAAGAGCTTGCTCAAGAATTTGAGCTCTGAGCAACAGCGGTTCAATTCCCAGTCCGACCTGAGTAGCCGCTGAGCTGCCAACAGGTGGCAGGATGGCTCAGCTTAAAAAAAAAAAAAGTATGAAGTAGAAGAGATCTTGACCTTGCTTTACACATGCACACATACCCTATCACATCCATCAAATATACTAAGTGCTTTCAGACAAGCTGGAGAGAAGTGGGTGTGGCATCCACATCAGGTGAGAGATGGCCCGGTGGCCCCATTGGTGCCCTGGGGCCAAGAGCTAGTAGTGAGAAGCCCAAGGGGAGACAGGAAGCACCTTTCCTGGCTGGTCCTGCCTGTTGCTTCAATTTAAAAGGGGTTAATTACTCAGATTACCCAGATGTTCTCCAATTCTCTGATTTACTTTGCAGTAGGAGGGAGACCTGAGTAGGTGAAAGGTCTGCTCTTCCTCCTCCTCCTCCTCCTCCTCCTCCTCATCATCATCATCATCTTCTATTTCTTTTCCTCCATTAATCCAGGGAAATTGGAGGGAGAGAATAGAAAGCAGCATGAGTTAACTGTAAGACATGCTTGCTTTCCCTATGCATAGATAAGACAACTCCAATGCCAGGAATGATAGAGAAAGCAAATGAATCACTATTGTCATCATCATCATCATCATCATCATCATCTCATGCGGTACCTTTATTTGTCCTCATTTCCTAGCCTATGGCTTGGAGGCCCAGGACTTAGAGAGAGAGAGAGAGAGAGAGAGAGAGAGAGAGAAGGAACAAAAACAGAATCTGTAATAGAGAATGTATGCTAAGAAGGGTACATGTCCAAGCAGGCTAGATGTCTTAGAAGTAAGAATCTCTGAAAGAAAGGTACCTGATGGTTTAGGCAAGGCTGAGCCTCATGTGGGGCCAGGTGAAACAGCTGAATGTCATGGTTTAATACAAGAAATTGGGTAAAAAAATATCACTCTGGACATCAGTTTCAAAGATGCAGTAGCTGCAGGGGGAAAGCATATACTATGTTTTAGACATTGGGAAGGGTGATTTACAAATGTAATTTTATTTAATTCCCATAGAAATATTATGAGAAAAGTTGCAAATAAATAAACATAAATTCAGTGAAGACGAAAGCTATTATCTTAAATGGAGAGGATTGGTTTGATTCCAAAATCCATGTTCCTTCTTTAGTTTCATATATATAAAGTCAAGCTAAAGTATGTCACCTGTGGGTAGGACTTTTGTCCTTCTATAGGACTTCTCCATTGCTGCTGCTTCCACCGTGGTGAGAATTTTGTTATTCTTACCCAAAAGTACGGTGACGGCAAATAGTCCTGTTTACTGATATTCTGGTTCTTCTCTCGCCACATAGGTTAGTTGTGCTCCACTCCTTGAAGATAGCCAGGGCCATGTGAAGTATGGGTGAAAGTGACCGTGTCACTTCTAGTAGAAGACAGTAACAGCCAATGAGGGATTCATCATGTTTTCTTCTACTTGCCACAGCCACCAGTTAACCCTCCAGTTGGTAAAATGTCTGAGGCTAGTGAGAAAAAATGGAGCAGAATCCCTGTTCATTTAGTGGAAGAAATAAAACTTAATTGTTAAAAGCCTGTAAGATTTTTGGGATTGTTTGTTAACTGCAGCATAACCTAACCTGTCCTGACTGATATAATGAAAATGATGATTTTCCTATCAATCATGATTTCAAAAGAGGTGTTCTTATGGGACAGAAAAAAAATGGAGAAATCGATGGATTGGAGTGAGAAGAAATGTAAACTCAACAAGTCATCTCTTTTGTTTGTTAGTGTTCAAAACCAGTAAACAAGGTCGATTAAGTTTTAAATTATGCACACGTTTTAGGTGGTGTATGGTTTCTGAAGAGTGGGAGAGAATAAGTATTAGTTTGCTAGGGCAGCCATAACAAAGCACCACAGCCTGGGAGGCATAAACAACAGAAATCTCCTTTTCACAGTCCTGGAGACTAGAAGTTCAACATCAGGGTATCATCAGATGGCTGTCTTCACATCATCTTCCCTCTGTATGTGTCTATGTCTTAATCTCCTTTTCTTATAAGGACACCAGTCATATCAGATTAGAGCCCATCCTAATGACCTCATTTAACCATAATTGCTTTTTAAAAGACCCTATCTCCAAGTACAGCTACATTTTGAGGTACTGGGAGTAAGGACTTCAACATATGAATTTAGGGGGGAAGCAATTCATCCCTTACCTGTTACATAATATATGCGTATATTCAAAAATGATTTTTACCCCAGTCAAGATGTTTCCTATGTTTTATGCTCGGCCAAGAATGAATCCAAGGCTCTGGCAACCTGCCCTAAACAGATTCTGTCACAGGGCAACTGCAGTGTTTCAACCTTCATTGATCTCTTAACCCCACACCCAAATGATTCAAGATGAGAAAGAGCTGAAGGAACTGTGGGGAGGGCACTCCTAGTCCCATTTTAATAGCTAAGGAAACTGGAGCTCAACGATGTTAAGTGACATATCCTAGGTCACACAGGATATGTCAGAACTGAGAATTATGTTTATGAATTATGAGCACCTGCAATTGTCTTTCCATTAGGTCGAGCTACTGCTGTTTACAAAAATGGAGTTTGGGTTTTGAATGAATGAGAGTGTACGAGTTCTCATAGCAGATTTGCAGAATGGGACAAGAAGAGAAACAAGATCATTCCAGGTGAGTGGAACGACACAAGCAAATGTGGGGCTTCTAATTTTTAGCCACCGTTTATTCACTCTCTGTCAGTACAATGGCATATATGAGTATTACTATTCATGTTGAGGTTGGATTGTCAGTGCCTCTTGAGATAATCCAGGAAACAATGAGGCATCTTGGATGTGTCATCAATTTATTTACTGGCTCATTGGGGATGCCATAATGGTTATTCACCAGCTATTTTCTATTTACAAAATGGTTTGCCATAAGTTTGACTTGATTTTAGTCACCGCAAGTTACCCAACTCACCAAGGAAACATTTCAAGATAAAAAGACATTAAATAAATGAGCCCAGAGTAGCTAAGGGCAAGAGCTAGGATAAAGAATTAGAAACTTCAGAGACCTCCTCTGTTTTGCCCCTGGGGCCGGCTTCTTCTACAAACAGGCTTCTGGGAAACAGAGTGATGAGGATATTCCATGAAGAGCTCAGCATTTTCTACAACTATTTATCGAAAATGCAAGTCATCACATTAGAAGAAAGGCATACCAGGGAAGCAGAGAGGCCCACACTCCAGGCCAGGGTTTTAGAGCAAGGGTCCTGGGCTGGGTTCTGTGGAACACACTCGTATTGACGACCATGAAAGGATTCAGCATCTTGAATGAGACAGCTGCTTGTACAGAGGCGTTCTTTTTTTTTTTTTTATGAGCTGACAAGTTAGCCAGGAACAAAGCATGTTTGTAGGAAGTAAATGGTTGCCAGTTCTAATCTGAGCTTTTCATTCAGTTGTAACTGGAGACAATGGAGTTTTTAATGTTACGCGTGAAGTTCCTCGTTTTAGATTTTTGGTCAGAATGAGGCCAGGATTTGGTTTGGCTTAGGTGCTCTGTTTTCAAAATGTCACTGAAATCAATGAAGACAAAAGCAATGCTGGTTGTTTTCATTTCCTGCTGATCATAACATTTCCAGGGTCTGGACAAGCAAAGCTGCCTCCATGGAGGATGTTTGCTTCTTGCTCCAAGACTGAGCCTAAAGAGGGGAGACTAACAGTTGACATGTTATGATGTGAAAGTATTTTAAAGTCTGCACTGAGATGAGAATTAAACTGAGATCTGGGGGGTGGCGGGCCCATGGGGGTCTTAGGAGTTGGAGAAAATTGCTTTGAGTCACACTGATGAGAATGAAGAATTGCTTCTGATCTAGCTTCTTGGGGAGAGATGTTTCTAAGAAAAATTTCCAGATAAATGAAGATAATTTCTTTGAAGAATACTTTTAAAAAGTGCTGTTGTTCAGTTGATTTAAAAATGTATTAGATACTTCCTTGCCTTAGCAATAGGTAAGTAACATGTCCGGTTCTTGGTGATGTGGGGTAATCAGTGCCTCTATTGGCCCTACTGCTGTGATTGATACCTGTGGGCTCCTGAGCTATCTGTCCCTACACCAGCTCACTGGGGGAACCTACAGGTTGGCTAGATGATGGTTGGGTGCCCTTGGGGATTTGTATTTGTATTATAGACCATGAATGGAATTTTTTCATTAGAATCTTACACATCAAGGCAATATCTGCGAATATTCAAATCCTGCTGTGGAAGAATGATAACTACATTTACTAAGCCAACTAAGTTAGCATTTCAACAGTCGACCAGGCTGGTTTCACCAGCAGTACTTACTTTCTCCTTAGAAAAATTGATCTTGGACCTCAGAGTCTCCTGTTGCCTGATGCTTTTCACTGTTTGTCTCTTCACATACATGTAGCAGGGGACTTAAAAACTACTTCTATATTTGGAGACTGTCTGGTGATTGTATTATAACTCAATCCAAGACAACTCGAGCTCTAAGAACTAGAACCTCTGCGTTTCAGATCATACTCACTGATGATCATTCCTGTTTGAAACTGTATTCACACTTTATGTAGACTCCTTTGGGATTTCACCTTCCAAGGATGAATCTTCCACCTTTTTTAGGGCTTTTCCCCTAGCTTCCTGAACATATAGGCAATAACGTTAGTGGCTGAGTCATTCTCTAATTATGCTAAGATCCCATCTGCATTGAACACAGTCAACCTGTGATCTACTTGCTTTATCACTTTAATAAATGGACTGGATATTTATTTTCACCTGCAGTTTGGCATGGGACAAGATTGGTTTTATGGTTGAATGTCACTAGGAAAACTCTCTTCCCCAGGAAAAGAACCTGAATTCATGGTCTTTCCAGCTATCCTACTTTGAAATAATCTTCTCTTGACCCCACGACAACTAATCAAAAACAGTATCAATACTTTTGACTTATTTCAAACTATTGCTTTCCCAACAGTTAATTCTTTTGGCAGATTATGATATCTGTTTTATGTTATCTTCTGATTCTTGTCCATTTGTTGAGTATTTGAATTTCATGGATAAGGAATCCCTCCCTGAATGAGAAAGAAAATATTCTTCATGATTTTAATTGATTTTATTTATTTGTTTGCTACAGCTCTGTTAAATCAAAGGGCTTTGTTTAATCTAAGGGTATAGTAGGCTGAATAATGGCCCCCAAAGATATCAGGCCCCAATCCTTGGAACATATAAATGCTACCTTATATGGAAAAAGCATCTTTCAGATGTGAATTAGTTAAGGGTCTTGAGATGGGGAGATTACCCTGGGTTGTCTGGGTGGGCCTTAAGTGCAATCACAAGTGTCTCTATCCAAGAGAAGCAGAGGGAAATTTGACACAAATAGAAGAGGAGAAGGTAATGTGACCATAGCGGCTGAGACTGGATGATGTGGCCACAAACTAAGGAATGCTGGCAGCCACCGGAAACTGGAAAAGGCAAGAAACACATTTTCCCCTAGAGCTTGTACAGGGAGCGTAGCCCTGATGACACCTTCATTTCGGCCCAGTGATATTAATTTCAGATTTCTGGCCTCTAGAACTCGGAAATAATACATTCCTGTTGTTTTAAGTCACCAAGTTTGAGGCAATTTGTTACAGAGTTCATAGGAAACTAATGCAAAGGATAAATGAACTACTCTGAAATTCAGTTTGGAAAATAATCAGTCATCTGCAATACATTTTTAAAATATACTGAGTTCTGTGTTAGACCACAGGGAAGGCAGAGGAGAAATAAAGAATGTGGTTCTTTTCCTCAAGAGCTTTATGGCTTAGCTGGGGAGATAATATGGCGTCCACGAGACAAGGGCAGGTGATACAGGGCAGTCTGTCATTAAATGCTGCATTACTTTTACAGGCTCATAAGAACTGATGAGGTTCAGAGAAGAGGTTGATAAATCAATCAGTAACGTACAGGGAAGGTGTACTGGAAGAGGGATGGGGAGAATGGACAGGCAGAGAGCAGGAAGGTGAGCATTCCTATAGAGGAGAGCAGGAGTGATATCAGAGATAGAACCATAACTGAGATGTATTGTGAGGGCGGGGACCATGTTCATGTCATTCACTATTGTTCCCCACCACCAAGTGTGTGCCTGTATGTAATAGGGACTCTATAGGTATTTGATAAATAAACAGGTGGTGTCTTTGTGGGATATCACCATTCTAGGGTGGCTGGCCAGTAAGTGTAAAGGACATACTTTGGGAATAATGGCAAATAGGTTAGATTTGTAGGGTGGGGCCAATCCTGGAGGGCCTTGGATACCAGGAAGAAGAAAGTCCATGTATCAGAGTATTGATATATTAGAGAAAAATTTTCCTTTGGAGATTTAGAAAGGCATTTAAGAAACATGCCTTCCTGGCACTGTTTTTTCCCTTTTGGTTTCATTAAAAAAAAAAATTATCCAGAATTCCCGTGACACTGGATTGGACAATACTTAAAACTAATTTGAAAATCCGTTTACCCAGTTTGAATCGCCTCAGTTTCATCTGAAAAATGGAGATACTGATGGACTTTTCAGGATCCAGTACTAGCCATCAGCCTGTGAACCATGTCTCACACATCACAGCTTCTGGAATCTAAAGACTGTGTGTAGCTATCTGTTATTTCCCCTCTCCTGCATTGAGCTGAGCTGGACAACAAACCTGGCAATTTTTCCAGCACAATTGAACAAATGCTGGCTCGGTTTATTTATTTTTTCAAATTACTTTTTAATTTTATATTTTGGTGGTGTACTGAAGACACTAATTAGCTTCCAAATGGTTGGAAACTTATGAACTCTGAATGCCAAATCAAAGTTCCTTCTCACAGAAGAGTGTTTTCATTGTTTGGAAGGAAGGGTGCTAGTGGCTCAGTGACATGTCCTCTATCCACGGTGACAGTCCTCATTGCCATGTCACAGACAGAAGAGCTCTTGTTTCAGTAATGAAATTATCATGGCTGTTAGTTGCTTCTGTCTTACCTGTAGCTTCTTGATCTCCTATTGAAACTGCCTCTTCACAAAAGAAAGTAACAAAAGCACATGTCATACAGCTATCACTTCTTGTTAATCAATTAATTCTGAATCTATTTAACAAAAGAGCTTTATCGTCCTGATTATTATTTATCAAAAAAATGTATACTGAAACCCAACAACAGAAAATTGTTGTTTTAGTTTGTATGCCCTTTCATGCAACTCCAAATCTCTTTTTGTCCATCCTTAGGCTATCTTCCTGTCAGCCAATAAAAATGCTCCATTCTTCATAATCCTAAAAGAAACAAACTTCCTTAATTTTGCTATCCTGTCAAATAACCCTTTTATTTTTCTCATTCTTCCATTGCCAGACTTAATGAAAGCAGAGTAAATTTAGGAGGTCTCAGGGTGTCCTGAGTCTCAGGAGCCAGTGAGCTGGTTCCTGCCTGCAGACCTGTTTTATTGATTCATACCATGCTTTTTTTCCCCCTCTAACATTTAAAAATCGGGAGATTTGCATAAAAATCTGCAGTTATCTTTCTCTTAACACATTGGGGAACTGGCTACATTGGACCCATATTTGCACATGACAGTAGTCTCTTAGAATTGAATTTCTGTTTCTGCCTTTAGAAAGGGTATGCATTCCCTAGTTAACCACAGACCCTATCGCTCCCTATTGCCCAACACTGAGACACAATTCAGT